GCCGGGCTGCGGGGGCCCCGCGGCAGCCCCCGCCGGGGCTCGGGGATCCGGCCCGGAGCCTGGCCCCAGAGTCCCCGCGAGCAGCGGCGGCGAGTCGCTTCCTGCGGCCGGGCCGGAGCCAGCGATCGCTCCCCCCGCGCCTGCTGCTGCTGCTGCTGGGTCCTAGCGAGACACTCTTCAAGTTTTTCTTTGGTGCGGAATATTGTGGGGGTGGCCGTGTGTTAGCAGGGCAACCTTAGGGGACTTATCGGCCAGTTCCTGAAACTCGGGGAGGGAGGGGAACTGGCTGCCGCCCAGTACCACACTAAAGAGAAAGGTCAGTGAGAAACCAGACCCTGAGACTCAGTGTCCAGGGGGTAATAGGCACAGGGCAGGGCTGTAGGTCAGCCAGCTAGACAGGGAGGGCAGGCTAATGAGGGGATTCCGAGGTCAGAGGTCCCATCCTCCATGTGAGCTGGATTTGTCTGGCTCAGATAGAGTGGGGCAGAGTTAAGGAGAAATTAGGGGTCCAAGCTGCGCTGGGCAGCAAAGCCAGTCCAGCCTTGGAGACCCAGAGAGCAGATCCAAGCTGGGAGCAGGGCTGCCCTCACAGAGCCAGACTGACCTCCAGGCATCTGGCCTTTCCACTTCTGCACCTTGCCTAAGAGCACCACCTGCTGGACACCGTCAGCCACATTCACCAGCCAGCCACAGACGGTGGCTGCAGCTGCACCAACAGAGGAAGGGAAAATACAGGACAATTCCCTCCCCCCCCCTTTTTTTTGAAAATGGGACACCTGGAAAAAGGTTTAAATAAGGGACTATCCTGTTAAAAATGGAACAGATGGTCAAGCAAGCTTTTCCTTTTTGTTTTAACCTCCTACCTATTCATTTAATTGGCTGAGCCCTAATTTTTGTGTTATGGGAAGGAGTAAGATGTGCTACACCAGCTCCCGAAATGTGTTCAGGAGAAAAGCGATACAGGCCTCTGGGAGGAGAATAAACACGAATGAGATTGCATGGGTGTGACTGGCAAGTTCCTCTTTGAAATGAGCAGGAGAAATCGCTGGCAGCAAAGGCTGCAACCCCCTTCCTTTAAAAAAACTCCGGTGATCTGAAGAAGAAAGCTCATGATAGATGTTTTGTTAGTCCTATAAAGTGCTACCAGATCAGTTTTTGTTTTGTAAGTTTATCTTCAAAAACAAGTTTGTGGAGCGAGTCACAGACATTAAACCCAAGACTGAATCAATCGGAGCCGGCTCAAAAGAGGCATTGCAGACTAACTGCCTGAAGAAGGTGTTGGAGGTGGCTGTGGCCTTTGGAAAGCACAGGAACTAAGGCCAGAGAGGCAGCACCTTTTGTTTGAAAATCCCCATCCTACACAAAGTTGGAAACACAAAGGCCAACACTGAGCAGAACATCTCTCTTTGGCGCTAAACCCGCTACTAGTTGAGAAGAAATATCCCCAAGTCCTCAGTCTTCATGAGGAGCTGTGAGACATCCCTCAACAGTCAAAGTAACCAATACTCAGCTAGGCAAATGGTTGAAGAGCAGACGGAGCGTGTGTAGCAAAAATAATGTCAGTTTTTAAGGTCGACTTCCGTGATAAAGCAATTACACTACAGTATTTCTATGAGCTGAATTGAAGAATACCATTTTTATCACGTTTCCAGTGCAAATATTTGCAATAAAAGTAACATAAAATGAGCACTCCTTAGTTTGTTCTTTGCCGCTATAGAAATGAATATATTTGAAAACACGGAAAAACATCTCATTGGTATTCGACTGTTTAACAGTGTGATTCATTGAGTTCAATTTTTGTTTATATAATAATACATTTTTCAGAGTTCATTGCGCGAATTAACTGTGAGTAATCAATAGCGCAATCTTCTTCCAATTTTTGTAACAGTAAGACTTACATGTCAAACTTCTAGTCTATTGATCATGGAATGGAATGGGTTGAAATACCATTTACACACTTTTCTAACATGTCTTTAAATGCTGAATCATCTACAAGGTTCTTAACCATTTTGACCGTGTGTCACAGAATTTTAGGTCCTGTGGGAATTTCCCTATGTTTAGTGCCGTGTGATCTCTGTAAGCAATCGCATTTAGCCTTAGTGCAAGCACTCACAAGCTCCCCTTCCTACCTGGGCTGTCTGATGCTGAAGATTTAACCTCTCTATGAAAGTTTTCTCACAGTCCAGTCACATGTTGGGTAACTCCCCTGTGTGGACGGCTTCATTGAACGTTTTCTCACAGTCCAATCACATGTGGGGTAACTCCCCTGTGTGGACGGCTTCATGTTTCAGAAACTCTGAGCTCCATAAAAAAACATTTCCACCGTCTAAGCATTGACGGGGCCTGTCTCCTGTGTGGACTGCCTTATGTTTAAAAAGGCCTGACTTCCATTTGAAACATTTCCCACAGTCTGAACACTTATGGGGTCTCTCTCCGGTGTGAACTGCCTGATGGTTAACAAGATCGGGCCTCCGTATAAAACATTTCCCACAGTCCAAACACTGATGGGGTCTCTCTCCTGTGTGGATTTTCTGATGTGAAACAAGCCCGGACCTCCATTTAAAACTTTTCCCACAATCTAAACACTTATGGGGTCTCTCTCCGGTGTGCACTCCCTGATGGCTAACAAGGTCAGGCCTCCGTATAAAACTTTTCCCACAGTCTAAGCACTTATGGGGTCTCTCTCCTGTGTGGATTCTCTGATGGGAAACGAGGGCTGACTTCCATTTGAAACTTTTATCACAGTCTAAGCACTGATGGGGCCTCTCTACAGTGTGGATTTTCTGGTGTGAAACAAGGGCTGACCTCCATATAAAACTTTTCCCACAGTCTAAACACTTATGGGGTCTACCTCCTGTGTGAAGTGCCTGATGCGAAGCAAGAGTTGATCTCCATTTGAAAGTTTTCCCGCAGTATGAACACTTATGAGGTCTCTCTCCTGTTTGGACAGCCTGATGGCTAACAAGGTCAGACTTCCGTATGAAACTCCTTCCACAGTCTAAGCACTTATGGGGTCTCTCCCCAGTGTGTACAGCCTCATGTAAAACAAGGGCTGACCGCTTTATGAAACTTTTTGAACAGATTGAGCACTTATATGGTCTGTCTCCTGTGTGCACTGCCTGATGTAAAACAAGGTCTGACCTCCATATGAAACTTTTTCCACAGTCTAAACACTTATGGGGCCTCTCTCCAGTGTGTATTGCCTGATGTAAAACAAGGGCTGACTTCCATATGAAACTTTTCCCACATTCTAAACATTTATGGGGTCTGTCTCCCGTATAGATTCTCTGATGTGAAACAAGAGCTGACTTCCATTTGAAAGTTTTCCCACAGTCTAAACACTTATGGGGCCTATCTCCTGTGTGTATTGCCTGATGTCTAACAAGGTCGGACCGCCATATAAAACTTTTCCCACAGTCTAAACACTTATGGTCTGTCTCTCCTGTGTGTACTGCCTGATGAAAAACAAGGGTGGATCTTCGTTTGAAACTTTTTCCACAATCTAAGCACTTATGGGGTCTCTCTCCAGTGTGGATTTTCTGATGGGAAACAAGGCCTGACTTCCATTTGAAACCTTTCCCACAGTCTAAGCACATATGGGTTCTCTCTCCTGTGTGGATTTTCTGATGTGAAACTAGGGCTGACCTCTGCATGAAACTTTTCCCACAGGCTAAGCATTTATGGGGTCTCTTTCCTGCGTGGCTTGTCTCATGCACATTCAGGGCTGATTTCCAATTCAAATGGTTCCCTCCCTCAAGGTTTTGAGAGCCTTTCTCTCCCATTTGGCTTCTCCCATGAGCATGAAGATCTGAGCTGTTATTGACTCTTTCCTCATGGTCCAAATATTGAAGTGGTTTTTCTCCGGTATCTACTGTCTCAATTGTAATTAGCTCTGGGCTCAGAATAAATCCCTTCATATAACCAAGCCATTCATGGTGTTGCATTTCTTTGGGATTTGTCTGCTGGGCTGTGACATCTCTGTGCTCTTCCCCACATCTAATAGATTCATTCGTTTGCTCACTTGGGTGGTTTCTCAGCAGCCTCTCCGACCTGAGCCAATTTCCCCAGGCTTCTCCCTGTTCCAAACACTGGGAAACATTCCCTCCAACACTTCCCACAAAGGTCGCCTGCGGTTCCATTTCCCCAGGAACTTCCTGCTGTTGATTCACCTCTTCAGTCTCACTCGTGGTCTCATCACCTGCTGGGAGAGAGATAATCCAGGCAGGAGTCACTGACCTGGGGAGAAAGAGGAACAGCACCAAGGGAAAACCCAACAAACTGAAGTTGCTCAGACCCAGCATTTGGATTGTCTTTCCGCATCCCACAAAAACACTCATAGGGGAGGAAACATGGGAAGGAAACTCCTGCAGCTAAGAGGCCTGGTGGAAAACTGTGAGCATCATCCCACAAAAACACTCCTAGGGGAGGAAAAATGGGAAGGAAACTCCTGCAGCTAAGAGGCCTGGTGGAAAACTGTGAGCAATATCAGCTGACCACACCCTGCCCTGCCCTGCGTCAGAGGAGGCTTCCTTCAGGGAAATTACTGATACCACATTTTTAATGTCCTCAACGTTTTCTTTCATTCGCCAGCTTCCTTCTGTGTTACTAACCGGTGCAGGTGCCTCTTGTTATCTCGCTCTCTGCCCTGGCCTGGACGTCGGGTACCCAGGGCTCTTCCCCTCGTTCCAACTGCGCGATCAGCTCAGGTTTGGGAACGGAAAACCCTGCGCAGGGGGTGAAATCAAAGCAGATCAGGACGCATGGATGTTAGGGAGATCGTCTGTCTCAAGGGACATTCCGTGAGTGGAACCTGTCCCCGGGCTCTGCCAGGGAATGTGCAATCCAAGAGGATGGGAACATGGTCACTGAGCCTCCTGGGGAGAGGCAGACTCTGAGGCCCTTGCTGACATTCACAGCTCCGCAATGAAACCCCTGCCTATTTCTAAGCCTGTGGCACCAAAATCCTTCCCCACGGCTGGAGCTCGTCCCTAGGAGGGAGGGAAACAGAGATTCTGGGTGGGAGTGAGAAACAACACAGACAGGAGGATACATGGCCCCCTCGCCTTGAAATCTAGAGGGGCCGGGTGGGGATGATTTAGCACGTCCATTAGGGTTTGACACCCTGGTCTCACTGCACAGGGTGGGGAGATGCAAGTCGCTCTCCCCCGGCAGCGGTGCCCATGGAACCCATTCCTGTCCAGGCCACCTGAGCAGGGAAGAACCTGACCCGTGTCGGACACGCAGACCCCACGGCTCCTAATCCCCGAGGGGCCAGGACGCCCTTACCCAGCGAGGTCACCGCCTCGTAGTTCTCCTGCATGACGTCCCTGTAGAGGGCTCTCTGAGCGGGGCCCAGCAGCGCCCCCTGCCC